AATGTGTGTGTGTGTCTGTTGATTAAGTGGTGTGTAGCTAAAAACATTCTCACACGACCTCTAGTAACATGTCGTGTCTTAAACATAAGAACATATTATGGCTAAGGCTACAGTTCTACACGTCATAATAATAATATTAAACACCCTGTCTGCTGACAGTCATCAACTCTTCTCTCTAGTTATCCTTGACCAGATGTACCCTGTAGAAACTCATAAGCATGACTAAGCATTTAACAGTCTAACTAGACATCCTATCTCCACTAAACATTTCTAATACATAAAGTATCTATCCAATATTTATCTGACTAAACATACCTAACAATAGCATCTCTGGATGCTTGTCTTTCCAAGTGCAAGGTAGCCAAAAAAATCATTTAACCAGTGCTACCCTGAAGGAGGATCCGATGTTTTCCAGTGTTGAAGCGGAACCTTTTTGGCTGTTATAAGTCCACAGGCTAGGAATTGTCTCAGAGATGCTGTTGAACTGGGCAATATCTTCACTGTACCAAGAACAATTAACATGAAATCAGGTTAAATTGTTAAGTCTGTTACTTCTGAGAAGATGTTGAAGATTTCCTCCTAGAATCCGGCCTGGACAAAGCACTAAGCTGTGTATCAGGGTACCTTCTACAGACTTGCATCTATCACACTGTGGTGACACTTCTTGGGAAAATAGTATGGAGCATACTCTTGGAATAACATAATCAATGGGAGTACCTTAAATTGAATTAAACAATCCCTAGCATTTATGGAACAGGTATATACATAATGTAAACTGTCATCCCAGATGTCATCACCATGCTTGTTTAATATTCTCCATAGAACACAGTTCAGACACAATTCTAAGACTTTTTTTTAGAAATCTGTCAGAAGGAATGGCTCTCTGGATGCTTTATGAATATGGCTTCATGAGTTTAATCAAAGGCGGCATGGTGGCACAGTGGTTAGCACTGTCACCTCACAGCAAAAATATTCCAGGTTTGAGCCCAGGCCGACCTGATGCTTCCTGTGCAGGCTTTGCATGTTCTCCCTGTGCCTGCGGGGTTCTCTCTGTGTACTCCGGCTTCCCACCACAGTCCAAAGACATGCAGCTTAGGTTGACTGGTGACTCTAAATTGCCCGTAGGAGTGAGTGTAGTGTGAGTGTGTGTGGTTGTTTGTCAGCCCTGTGATAGACTGCCAACCTGTCCAGAGTGGACCCTGCCCCTTGCCCAATGTCAGCTGGGACTGGCTCCAGCCCCCTGCAACCCTATTCAGGAATAAGCAGTATAGATAATGGATGGAGTTGAATCAATAAAACCAAGCTGGAGGTGTGGGTTAGAGCTGCTCTGACATACAAAACTGTTACATATCCCATTCACAGCAGCAAAAACATTCTGTTGATCCAAAAGACAGTCATATTTTAACACATAATTTTACCTAATGACTGAAATCTTTATCTCATTTGAGTGTATTTTCCTCTTGTATGTTTCCTCAGGTGACTTGTTTCTACAAAAACATGACAAGACCTCTGCTTTGATGGTGCAGGAGGTGGATGTGGCACATACAGAGTCTACTCTTGCCAACATTATAGAACAGGTACTGAAGGAAATCAGTCAACTAGTTAAAATATGTGGAGTTTAAAGCTGCTAATCTCTTTAGTGTCAACCCATGACTGGGGGGCAGTTTTCCACCATCAACATGCAAATTTCAAAAGTAGGCAAGATAAATCCCTTTTATTGTTTCTAAGTACTAACAATACCCCAGCAAAGATTTTTGTCTATAAGGTGAGTTCATCGCTCATGTGAGATAATAAGATGCTGTGTAAGCTGTTGAAGCTCTTCTTCCTTTCAGAGTGCACTGGTACGACAGCTTCAAAAGGAGAACCTGTATTTGCAGCAGGCTTCAGATCTGATGTCTGGTGGCTTGTCTGAAAATGTCCAGAATGCAAGAAGCAACCCTGCTCTCCTGTATACTAGGCTGAAGCAGGCAGCATCCTGTATTGCCCTTTTGAGCAGAGAGAAACAGCAACTGATAGAGATGGGCAACCGCCTTCGTGCCAAATTCACCACCGCTAAACCACAAGGTACTATAACACACTTACCATCACTTACCAGGCACACTACACTGAAGAGCAGGCAGTGTAATTAACACCACGTGGAATTAAAGGGACAATATCAGTAGGTCCAGAAATTGACCATAAGTCATTTGTTGGGTTTATGATTAGTAAATTGATTAGTAATTAAGACAATTAATTTGTCTGGTAAAATGTCAGACCTTAAAAAGTCACTGTCTGTCATGTTTCATCTAAGAAATCGAATGAGCATCCATCTACAGCAGGTAACACTACACTTACTGGCCCACCACTGCACTACTTCTTTGTTGTCAGCTTGTTCATTGTTGTTGTTTTTTGGCCAAACACTGCAAAAGCTGCCAGATGAATTTTGTCCCTTTTTGCATAAGATAAAAAAAATGTTATATTGTGGGCTTTTGCACATCTGGAGTCCTGCATGTCTTGTGAAGCAATTCACATGTCCCATAGAAAATGAAAGATGTCAAACTTCATGTTGTTTCACACCTCAGTGGATCTTCATCATAAAGGACTGGACCACCCTATATGATGGTGTATTTCAATCAATTTGTGGGTCACTGGCAAAAGTAGAGGAGCAAGGACATGAGAAAGCATAATAAGGATAATAAAATGCAGCCACAGTCCCCTGAAAACTCTGGTGTCTAACAGAACAAGTGGAGCCAGAGAAAGACTCCTCCACAAAGAAACAAGGAGACCAACATGACCGACTGTCTACTCTGGAGCAGCTGCAGTACCAGCTCACCACACAGGTATCAGCTTCAAATCCATTTTCCAAATCTCTTTAAATCCATCCCTCACCAATAAACAATTTGTTCTGGATCACATTTATCACTTACCTCAGTATCAGTACATATTCTACCACTTCAGACTCATCAGGTGAGATCGTAACTTGATGTGTGTACAAGTGGTCATTTTTCAGGTAATTTAGTTTTTAATAAGTTATTTGATGACATAAAAACTGGTATGTTTTGGATGATTTGCCAGCTTTGATTGGTGGCCTGATGCTGTCACTCCACTTCTGGTTGCTACTGCACAGAATCAGGTTACAAATTGCCAAGATGGCAGGGTGACATCTTTATAGACACTCCACCACTCATTAGACCTGTCAGTGAGAAGACCGGTCTTGTGTCCTAAGGTTAGGGGCAGGATAAGGTAAGGGTAAACATAATGGAAACAAAGTGCACTTTAACTGATTGTGTCACATTGACACGATTCTCCAACGGCACCAGAGCAATGCACCATTACGCATGGCTGTTACTCACCACTGTGGATGTTTACAGTGCAAGTACCATTCATCATCACACATATTTCTTTAACCATCATGTGTGATGTCAGAGTTATAATTGTAAAATAGCAGAAAGATGATCAATGATTGATTTACAGCACTCATATTGAAAAGGAAGAAGGTGAGTCTCACCAGGTTTCATGACCTTTCTGTGCGGAGTCTGCATGTTCTCCCCGTGCTTGCATGGGTTCTCTCCGGGTACCCCCGCTTCCTCCCACTGTCCAAAGACATGCGGCTTAGGTTGATTGGTGATTCTAAATTGCCTGTAGGAGTGAGTGTGTGTGTGTGTGTGTGTGTGTGTGTGTGTGTGTGTTCGCCTGTGTGTCAGCCCGGCGATGGGCCGGCGAGCTGTCCAGTGTGTATCCTGCCTTTCGCCCGATGCCGGCTGGGATTGGCTCCAGCCTCCCTGTGACCCCGTTCGGGACTACGTGGTATAGAAAATGAGATGAGATATTGAAGAGGAGTATACAAACTTCACAGCTGAAGATAAAGTTAAAAGATCACTGACTAGAAAATGGTTCAAATGTAATTGAAGAGAATGCTCATCACTCAAACGGTTATTTAAATTTAGGGTTACAAATGGACCTTTAAAATTTTTTTTACAAAGGCTATGTAAATTTCAAATAGTATTGCAAAATCAGGAATATTAACAAAACCCCAAAACAACCAGTGTTTTGCTTCTCTCATCTTATGTTCATTCTCATCATTTCACCTTCAGCTAGTGCTAGAAATTTTATGTAAGGTTTGAAGTATGCATGAGGTGTGTGCTTACTGTGCATCCTTCTTACGCAAATACAAGTTTATGTGCAGAAAAGGGGAATATGCTAGCTCTTCCCCTTGTTTCCAGACTTAATGGTAAGCTAATCCTTAGCTGTACATTGCACACAGATATGAGAGTGATATCAATCTTATCAACTTACTCTAGGCAAGAAAGCAAATAAGTTGAATTTTTTTTTTTAACTGGACAGTCCTGATATTAGGATCAGTTAGAAATGTGACAATTCAGTGAAAATTATGCTACTGTGATGGATGGAATAATGTGCACTTTAAGTCAGATCCAGAAGTGGAGCAACACTTAATGGTCCAGTACTAAGTAACCCGAATGTTCTGATATGAGTGTTTTCATACTGTATCATATCTTATGCTTACAAGGGATAACAGTTGCATCACTGGGAGGACAGTATTTTTATGTTTTCTTGTGATTTGTGTCAATGTCATTCTAACACCAACACTTACTGGGAGTAGATGTAGTTAATGGAGGATTCTAGCAGGGGGAGACTAGAGCTGTTAAACTATGTGAAAGGACACATTGCTCACTCCCTTCAGTCATTACACACATGAGCTGAGGAGAGTTTGTGTCCATGTATGTCACATAAATACCCCCTTTACAGGGCTATTACACTACCTCACAAAGAAAAGGCAGAGTTTGGAGTCTCACCAGGTTTCACATGACGGGCCAAAGGGATGGGTTTTTTTTTTCCCACACTGGTATCACTACATTCTTATAAAGTCCTTCCTGCAGGGTTGTGCGGAGGTGTGGCCATGTTTGTTTGTGCTTCAGAATGTAACTGCCATGAAAGAATCAGAAGACATTTTATTTCTCTGATTCACTCTCTCTCTTCATTAGCATGCCATCTCACTCAACCACTGCTGCTCGTTCTCTTGGTGGTGTAGATTTAAAACACAGGCTGTGACATGTGGGCACAAAGATGAAAAACAGCTCTTAGGTATGACTGAGATCTCTTCGTTCCTACCAACAAGTATTAGCCACCTATTTGGAAGGGTTTTTTACCCTCCAGGGCTCTGTGGCAGTCACAAGACAGAGCACTTCAAAACTTTCAAATGTTTCTGGATCCAGTTGATGGTCAGGATCACGAACCGACAAACCAACCAAGTTTGAGGAGAGGTTTTTACCACTGTTTGTTTGTTGGTTGGTTGGTTTATAGGCCAAAATTGAAATGCAAGCAGAAGAAAGCATTTTCAATTTGATTGCACGCATTTATTAGTAAGACTACAGTGATAAAGACCACAACAAAACAAAGACAAAAGGGAAATAGAAAGTGAATACAAAGCCACGGTGAGTGAATAAACAAGCAGCAGAGTTCAAATATATTTTGTAGATGGTATGCAAGACCTAAAGACAAATGGAATGACTGACTGTGTTTGCATACACTAACCCAGTTACAACAACCTTCTCCAGTCTGCTGATTTCTTAACTTTCAAGATGCATTCTGAGAATACCCTCAGAGTGTCTGACTAAGCCTAAAAACTTATAGCAATGCGTCCTAGCTTAAAGGTGATTTAGGAAACTGCTCAGAGCAACTTTGAGCAAGGAAGACAAAAAAACCTATCTCAGTGAGATTTAGTTGACCCCATTGCCAGGCTTCTTGATCAGCTACGAAGGAGTGACACATAACTCATGGTGTCAGTGTGTTCTTACTGGCTTCTATCTCTTTGTCTTTCTATCACTGTAGCATCTGCTTAAGAAACTTAATCCTTTTAAAAGTCCTCCATACTTTTTAACAATTTTTCACCTAGGAGTTCTATTAAGGGCTAAGATGCTTTGTGAATAACTTTTGTCTTTACCAGAATCTAGTCTTAATTTTGAGGAGAAATTCTTAGCAAACATCACAATTCTAGAATTTTCTTAGCATTTTGTCACTCAGAGCACTTAGGAAGCTTTGTGAATATGGCTCATGTTTTCAATAATTGGGGATTAGAGAAATTTGTTTTTCCCAGGTACATTTCTTTGGTAGAATGCAGATTTTTCTGACATGTATAAACATAATCAAGTTACTGATCTGCTAGCTTTAAGTTGCACATGTTCATGACAAATAACTGCAGACAGGGAAAGTAAGAGAGGAGTGGCTATATGAAAGGAGAGATTATTATATGTAGCCATCCTTCCTTGTATTGTATCCACCTCCTACTAAAATCCAATAACACAAAGTGGCCTGTAGAAAATGTCAGTTTCCACCACTGAATGTTTGTTAAATTAAGACAGTTCATGCTGTGAAAAGAAAGCTGAAGAATGAAAGATGATGTTTGGGTAGGCAAGTCTTTGGATGGATAGGGTCTGAAGGAGGACAGCTTTCATTTAAGATGGTGACGTTTGAGAGGATTTTCTTGGCTCTGTGATCTACTTTATCTCTCAAGTGAGACTTTTGTAGAGCTTTTGTCTGAAAACCCAGAAAAAGCATCCTGGCCAGTCACAAGGACGGCAGAGTTCTTGGGCAGGAGGCAGGAGGGGTTAAAACATTGTATTGTCCTGGTTTTGGGACCAGGTAGGAGATGAAGGTTGCCTTATCCTGCTGCTCAGTAGTTTAGAACACTGCCAGATAAGAATGACATTCTTATCGCTGTGTCATTGATCAGCACTCCAGGAGGCTCTTGAAGATCTTCCTGGTTCTGTCAAAAAGATCCAATTAACAAACAAGGTCTGCTCTTTTTATTTACTTTTCCCTA